ACTGCAAAAAACCTCTGCTTACTGTGTTTAACAAGCTTTGATTTGGCCAAGTTTTACTTTTAAATAAAATAAAATAAAATAGGCAAGTATGTGGTATTCGACTAAAGAGATGTTGGAGCTGTATTCACGCCCTAAAAGCAACAATTACACAATACTTTATACCTTGTCTCAAAACAAAAAACATTTGTTTCTTGTATGCCAATAAAAAGCCCATTTCATCAATGTCATGTCATGTTGCACACTTTGTACATGGAGAACCCACATCAGATAGTTGGCGGAACACGTGCGGCAATTATGTATGTTGGGGCCCAATAATAATTTTGCTTAATAATGCAGCAATCGAAAAGAAATACAAATGATTGAAAGAGCTGGATGGACATGTTAGGTTCAGCCGAAACGATTATGGTCGATTAGGTAAGTGAATAAAAATGAATGAAAAACTAGAGGCAAGCACCAAATTAACGAATATTAAATACCCTATGCCCAGTTAATCATCCAAGTAAAAGCTTTTTATATATTTAATCCCTTAACCCTTACCCTTTACCAAGTAACAGCTTTTTACATATTTAATCTGAGATTTACCAAATCATCAAATTTGCTGCAAATAATCTCATAAAATTGAAAAGTAAATTTTAACTATTGACAGTTTCAATTAGTTGCATAAATATATGGACTTGCAATAACATCAGGCCTTGCCTTGCCTTGCCTTGTTTTGCCTGATTTCATGTCTAAGTCTGTCGGGCCGAGACCTCAGCCTGGCCTTAGTCAGCCAAGTTGATCAAGAAACAAGTTTCCGATTGTTTGTTGTTATCGAATTACATTCGCTACGTGTGTTTTATTGAGAGTTCCGCTAACGAAACGCTTTTAAATGTACTCTCCACAGAGAACTATGGTAAATTAAATTAATGAATGCGGCATTTGACTATATTTAAATTTGATTGTCGAAGTCGGAAAGCACAGGCGCAGATTAAGGTGAAAAACTGTTGGACACGCCCCAACGACAATGAACTTGAATCCCCAAAAATATATTCAAATCACAGCGGACTCGGACTCGGTCTCAACATTATTGATAATGCATGAAATGTGACTGTCACAGATAAATCATATAAGGTGCACCTTTAGCCAACTAATGGGATTGTATAGTTTTATGGAAAATTTTCCAAAAAACAGATAGGAACACACGACTAGCGGCCAAGTCCCAACGTTCTTCAACAGGTAACAAATAGAAGGAATTATACAATCCTCTTTGCAGACAGGTAGTCAATTGCTTGAGCTGTGTTTTATGCACGGCCTTTGTTGGCTCCGGAGTTCAAAGACATTTTCGATTCTTTGGGGGATTCGAATTTATGTGTTGCGTGTGCCGCAGCCATGATTCAGAACATAAAGGACTTCAGGGTAATTAAAATGATACATTTTTTTTCAGTTTTATTGATGCCACACCCAGGAATTCAATGCCTTGCCCAGGCCAAAAGAAATTCCTCACCCTAGCTTAAGCTGGATGGATACCTGAGCCAATTACTTTGGATCGGGATCGGGTCAGCTTTGTATGACTCGTTGTTAGCTATTGCTTTTGATTGTGCAAGCCAAACAAATCCGATCCGATCCGATCCAATCAGAACCCAACCCAAAAACCAAACCACAGACTTACGCTTGGGCTCAGTGAAATGCAAATGATTGAACATCGGTTCGCTCGAGTGTGAATCTGGAGCAAATCAATATCAATATCAATATCAATATCAACATCAATATCAATATCATGCTAGATGCCGCGCGTCGCCTTTCGTATGGGAAGTTGTTGACCCAGACAATAAAACAGGCTCAATGACAATTGCAAATCTTGCGAAGTTTGAAATCAGATATTGTTTAGAATTTATTTTATTTTAATGAGAAGAAAAACCAACTTTCAGTTTTATATGAGAAGTTTTAAATCTTAAATAGCTCAGAATTTATTTTATTTTAATACGAAGAATACCCAACTTTTCCGTTTCATATGGGATGTTGTTGACCCAGACAATAAAACAGATAAGATCTAGGCTCAATGACAATTGCAAAACTTGACTTCTAAAATCGGAAATTGTTTAGGATTGATTTTGATTTTCATAAGAAGAAAACTCAACTTTTCAGACTCTGTCGCCTGTTTTTATGCGGCAGACTGTCAACTGATTCCATTTGATGTATGGCATTTATTAGGCCCCAAAACCCGCTGCACCTTATCGTTTGTGACCACAGATCATTTGTCAAAGTGTCATAGCTTCGATTGTTGTTGTTGTTTATAGTTTGGCCTGGCATCTTCTTTTTATTTATATTTTTTTTATTTTTGCCCTCGCATCGTCGAAATCTGAGCAATGTTATTGTCTGAAAATTGAGCAACATGCTCGAGTTTGGTATGCGGGTGAGATGGGTTAGCTGAGATTAGCATTCCAGCAACTCGAATGAACTCGAATGAAATAGCATAGAATAAGAATGTGGCGAGGTTTCAAATGTAGCCAGACAGTAAATAAAAATGAGCAGGTTTTTTTGTTGAGGATTAAGCAATGGCCGGTAGCTAAAGTCAAGGCGGTTGGAAAGATGCGCTCGCAACGATTCAAATAATAATAGGGATAGGCACAATAAAAGGCTGAAAATCGGTTTCCAAGCAAACCGATTCGAACCAGGATTTTCATATGAGAATCTTCAAATCAAATCCAAACAATTGCAAATACAGACATTATATAATTTCTTTTAAGCACAATTTGCCGTAAACGAATGATGATTCATGCCTGCTGACAATTTAGCCATAAAAGTAATTGAATAAGGTGCCTCAACACCTGTTGCCGCTTTTGGTATTCCGACGAAGCACTTGACACATGAAGTGTCGACTCTTGTGAATTACTCCAACAACTACAGCAAATCAAACTCTTAACTAATAGCTGCCCAATCAGTTTTCAGTTAACCGAACTGTCATAATATTGAAATTTTCAATAGATTTTCGCCAGCCCACATCCAATTGCGGCTGGCCCACAAATTGTTGTCAAGCGTTGGCGAAGAAATTGCTTTCAAATTGATTTGATTTATGTTGAAATTATTTTTGGACAGCGAACCCAAAGACTTTTCAAATGCTTGTTGAGCATTGATTTTTGCCAACTCACAAACTGAAACTGGGTTAATTGGATTTGGCCTCTAACAGTAAAAGGGCCTACACACAGCATTAATCGAATTTTATGTGTAGGCATCGAAGCAGGAATAAGCGAGAGCGTGTGCAAAATATAAATCGAAAGAAAAACCTTTCTATTAAGTACAAAATCTAAGTAAGAGTTCGATATATGGTTGGATTGTTATATACAAATATTATAGCAAATAGCATTGATCTTATGATCTTTATGTGTAGGCATCGAATCAGGAATAAGGGAGAAAAAAAAACCTTTCTATTAAGCCCAAAATCCGAGTGAGAATTCGAGATATCGTTGGATTGATCAAAAGTGGTAAAGTAGTAAAAATATTGTACTTAGCAAATAGCATTGATCTTATGATCTTTAGGTGTAGGCATCGAAGCAGGAATAAGGGGAGCGGGAGCGTGTGCAAAATATAAATCGAAAGAAAATCCTTTCTATTAAGTACAAAATCCGAGTGAAAAATTGAGATATAAAGTAATTAAAATTATTATAGCAAATATCATATATCTTATATGCTTAGCTATATTTATAAAGAATCGAAAATGATATTTGCAGATATACTTTTTATCTAACTTAAACCTTTCCATTAAGTCGGATATCAAAGTGGCAAAGTAATAAAAATATATATATAGAAAATATATAATCTATCTATAATGCTGGATTTGGCGACCTTTCCATAAAATAAATATAATATATTGTATATACATATGTATAAGAGATTGGAAAACGAAAAACTTTTTATCTAACTTAAAGCCTTTCTATTAAGTCGGAAATCTAAGTTAAAAATTGAGATATGTTTGAATGCGGCAATTGATCAAAAGTGTTCGAGTAATAAAATTATTATCCCAATTAACATTGATCCTATAATATTCTTAGCTAAATTTACAAAGAGACGCTCCAATGATATTTGCACAGCTCAACTTCTTGTCCAACTTAATGGCAACATTGCCTAATACAAGGTAAGAATTGTTCTCCGTTTTGGTATACTCTCTAATTAAAAGTCCACAGGTTCTATGCACATTTTCCAGCTGAAGACATTTTCACCCAATTATGTGTGCATTGTGAAAATGTGCCGTTAAAATGTTTTTTTTTGGCATTCTTTTCGAATGGTATTTTGTTTGTGGGTTTGGATTAAATGCATTGATCATTAAGAATCTTACGAAAAGAAACAAAAACTAGTTTAGACAAAGGCAGCAGAACTAGCGGCAGCTTCCTGCCTGATCTTACCGTTGCGGCTCCACAGATGAATGCTGAAGGTAAGCCACATTTTCGACACCGAAACCTTACCGAACAAAGACACCTGCTGCTGCTGGCCAAGTCAAGTTAGCCAAGTCAAGCAACAATCTGATGCCGAGGCAAGTCCAACTCAGGCAAACAATGAGCCAGACTGTGGCTGTGCTTGTGGTATGCGCTTTATAATTGTACAGAGCCGCAAAAGTGACCCACTTTGTGGCACAAGTTGCATGCTGGCCACTATCTAGACTTTTGGTAACAATGCATTAAGCTACACTAATAGAGCCTGTTGTTGTTATGTAGCTACAGTAGCTTAGCCCAAACTATCTGGAAGCCAAATTCTGAGGGCGTTCCAAAAGCCCGCATCGGACTAAGATACACAGGTAAGGAGAGGGGGAGAGAAAGAGAGGGAGGGGGGCTTTAAAATGCTTTTAAGCGGGGCAGATAATACCCTATAATTTATGGACACGTTCACGAGTCTCTAAACTTCTTTTGGAAAGTTCTTTTGTTCTCACTCAAGAAATGGAATCCCAATAGAACTGTGGCTTACACCTTCAGATAAGCTGGAGAAACCCGAAAAAAAACTCAATTTATTTGAATTTTGAATCATTTATAAAAAATTGTTTTTATTTTTCGGTCACTTTAAGGAGAAAATAGTATAAATTGAGGAATTGTCAGCTTGCTATAATGGAGAAGCTGCGCGAAAAGCTTGGTCAGTTGTTCACTCGAAAGTATTCGGTAGACAGGCCAATGGTGGACGAGAACGAGGAGGTGAGCGAGGAGCTAAAGACCAAGGATGTGGTGGATCTAATGCAGCAGCAACACCAACAGCAGCAGGATCAAGAGGAAAAACCAAAGTCATCATCGCATAAGCAGCCAGACAGCGAACGAGAGTCACATTATGATAACCAAAGGCAAAACAAACCAAGTCCGTATCCGTTGTCAACGGCAGATCTCCCAGTGGAAGCAGGACCACACAATAATTATATGAATAATATCGATCCGAGCATCAGCTATAATATGCAGTTTGTCGATTTTATCGATCGCAATGCACCGCCTGGTTTCGCCCAGAAACTGGAGAGCATGTGGCCCTACCTGGGCCTCAGCTTTGTCACCTGGCCCAGCTATTGGGTGTGGCGCGGCTATCAGTGGCAAACCAAGCGCCGCACCGAAAGGATCGGCATGTACATACAAAGGGTAGGTCTTGATGAAAAATGTAATTGAATTTAATTAAACATTTCTGGCACAGACCTTTCAGCATGCCAAGCTGATGCAGGTGGCCATTCTGAGTCTCGGCCTGCTGATGGCCACCTCGGCTCGCGCATCATCGGAGCCACTCGAAGTACATGAAGTGTCCTACAGATCGAAACGGAAATGAAAACATCTGAAGCAGCAGGCCGTGCCGGCAATGGGGATAATAGTAGATAAAAAATTACGAAACATTTCAGAATAACTCGAGTCAGCATCAAAATTTGAAGCGAAATTCAACAGAAAATATATACAAAATCATGGGCATTACGAACTTCTTCGAGAGCGTCAAAAATTGGACAGTGGCGCGCGTCCAAGGCACGATTGGGTCCAAGGACGAGGAGCGCGAGGATGTGCGACGATTTCCCAACCTGGGCGAGGATATACAACAGGTGGTGCATACGCCGGAATTTGAGCAGGTCCTGGACGCGGCCTCGCCATTCCTGCTGGCCAGCATGGGTGCCTGGCCGGGATATTGGCTATACCGAGGCTTCGATTATCACTCGCACAGGGCGCACGTGCCGCTGCCCGTCTACATCAGACAGGTGAGTAAAGAGTAACATATAATTAAGATAAATCCCAATTCCTTATCACTTGCGTAGACTTTTTACCAAGCCAAACTGCTGCAGCTATTGATTATCATGACGGGCATCATCAGCATGGTCAGGAATCACAACAATTTGCGCATTTTTCCAGTCAGCAATAAGGACGAGTAAAATCAGTTCAAATTAAAAGCAAATTCAACAAAAGTTGGTGGCAAATCTTAAAACCCTGAAGTTCGTATTATTGCGGCCCATTTTGATAATAAAAATTCCTCCCATTTCATATTTTAATAAATGCAATTGACTTTAAATGAAGCTTATCTCTTATTCAAAACCAAGCCGGGCTAAAACTTATTATTGTTGCTGCTTTTGCTGCTGTTGTTGTTGTTGTTGTTTCTTGGCCTCGGTCTTGAGCATTTTGATTTCTTTGACCAGAGCCTGAGGTTCGATGCCAGCCCCCAGGAGTTCGATGCTTATCCTGATGGCATCGGGATTGAGGCCCGCGTTGACCAGCTCGGACATCCCATGGATTACTTGGACGACCTTTTCGGTATCTTTGGCACGGCCATGCGAATTTATAGATTCCTGGTTGGACATGTTCAAAAATCACATTAACAAATTTGTTCCGAGTTCAAATCAAAAGCCACACAATTTTGCTGCTTATGTCTCAGACTGCTTAGAGTTCTCACAATAGCTTACAAAAGGAATCATTTGGGAAGCATCTTCAAGGTCAGAGTAGCTAACAAAGGGAATCATTTGGGAAGCAGCTTCAAAGTTTGCCTTCTCCTTAACTCGATTGTCTACAAATCTGAATATAAGTATTTTTTAACAAGGTTTCAAGTTCAAAGTTCACCAGCATTACTAATGAGCCGGCTAATCTAGTTAACTGTTATAAATCAAAACAAACAACACCACGCACACATACACACCCTACACACACACACACACCCTACACACATACACACACCCTACACAATGTCGCCGCCGGCCAAGTGGAAAGATAAATTAGCTACAAGTTAAACAAATTACTTATGTTTTCAGTTTTGAATTGCAGCACGCAGAGCAAAGTGAAAAAACACACACAGAAAATCACAGTCAGCGAACAATTAACAAGTAAACACGAAACTTAGATACCCTGCAATATAAATGCACATGCACATATAAATATATATACAATATACATATATGTTATATATATATTTACATATTTTAAAAACGTATTCATCTGAATGTGCCGCAATTATTATTTATTTATTTATTATTTATTTATTTATTTATTTATTATTTATTTATTTACTTATTTATTTATATATATTTATATATATTTTATTTATTTATTAATGGCGGACAAACCGAGTGTCTAGCTAATTGTTTAAATTAAATGCTCAAATCCTTGGTTAGAATATATTATTTATTTATTTCCAATAACATCATCGATACGATGCAGATGTCCGGCCAGCTATGCCCCTAATTAGTAGTGTATTTCAAGCCTCTTACAAGAAGATCATTTATTAAAGTACAGTTGTTGTTGTTGTTGTTGTGATAAGTAAAAGCGTTTTGGTGATCTATGTGATCTATGTGCTCTGTTGTATATCAAGTATCTTTGTTATAGTTGTTGTAGCTTTGGTCTCACCTGTATGAGATACATTCTGATGCCGTTGCTGGTGTTGTTGCTCCGAGCGTTTTACACACGCACACACACTGACACAAAGCGCAGATGAATATAATTATGCAGCAGCGTCTTAGAGAGGGTTGGGCCAGAGACAGGTATCTGTTGGTATCTGCAACTTGGTATCTGTATCTGTATCTCTATCTGTACACACTGCGCGCGGTTGGTTCTTGTTATTGCTTTGCTCTACTTGGAATGCAGCTCGCGTTTTTTATGACGCTGCTGCTGCTGCTGCCAGTCTATTTGCTTTCGAGTTTAGAGCAATTGTTTCAATTAAATGGAAATTTGTTAACTTTCTCACTTAATGAAAATAAATTGAACACAATACAAAAACGTTTTTGGTGGCTTGGCAAATGTTCAACTTCGGTAGAAAACGAAGCGATTTCCAGCGCGGAGTAAATTAAAATGGGTTTTTGGTTAGGGAGTCGGAGTTCCTGTGTCTTATTGTACAGTTTTATATAGTCTGGCTATATAAAGGTAAATAGTCAACAGCTCAAAATCGTTAAATGAAAAAATTAAAAGGGTCGATAAACTAGGTGCAATGCTCGTATTTAGTTCTTTATATATTTATAGCCATTTTCTTGATGGGGTTGGTTGGTCAACAGCAGCTGTTTCTTGTATAACTGTCCACTTTTTGACACCACGAATATTATATTATTTGCCTGCGTCACAGGGTTATGTACACACGGTTCACTATGGCAATTTGTCCGCTCGAAATGCCTTTACAAGTTGTTCCATCGAATCGATCAAACAAATTTCAAACACGACCGCGAGCTCAATGCATTGGAACTTGAGCAATTTATTAATCCATTGTGATTTGTAAACATTTAGAAAATTATATGTTTTATTAATCAATTTTTTTTTTAGTATTTACAGTTCGTTGAATTTTTGTTTTTAGACGAGTTAAGTTTGATTTTCTTCTTATTTTTTGTTAAAATTCGGTTTAAATTTATTTCAACACATCTCCGGTGTTTCCTCTGCAGGAGTTGAGCGCGAACTAAACGTTAGAGATCCAAAAGTTCAGCTACAGACCCCGTAACATAACTGATACGAATGTTAATACTCAAAATGGAACTGTTAAACTCAAAATGGCACTGCTGTTGGAACGCGTTTTGTGTCTGCTTGAAACGAATACCACACATAACATCATCATGACGTTCGAAATGGCGAGTGTTTGTTGTTGTCCAACCGAATACCATGGAAATGCGTGCATGAGTTATGTTCGAGCTGAGAAGCCGCGCATTCGATTTAGTTGCGTTGCGCTTCAAATGTGTGGAAAACAAACATTTCCTACGACAGCCGTGGAATTTGAATTATTTTCGGGGGGCGACCCAAGGCAGGAATTTAGTTCTTTTGATAGGTAATTTGTATTATGCGGGGGATTGGCTTAATGGGCATTAAATGGTTCAACTATTGGGAGGGCAAAGTAAAAGATTTTATTTAACTCCAAGCTAAGCTAGTTGCAAGAGAACAAACATTTCTTGTATTGTATTTAATTGAATAAAATGAAACCCGAACTTTATACTTTCCAACTTTTCCCATATCTTGTGCGCAAAATCTTTGCACAGTGGAACGCGTTGCAACAGGTTCCTTTTGGCCTGTAGGCACGAAAAATAAAAGCGTAAGCATTATAATTATACTGGCCAAGAGACCGACTACCACAAAGTGAGCAAACAACAATAAATTTAAGAGAAACAGGAAATTTTTTGTACGATAACTTGTAAAACATTTCATAACCTGACACAAAATCGCAAATATGACGAACGCACAAAGCAAAGGAGTCAATAAACAACACACAACAGAGAAGAAGAAAAAAACCACTTAAAATGGGCGTGGCAAACAGCTGACTGCCAGAAAGTGACAACTGAAGTGGACACCCTTTTTGGCCAGCTGGGGCATTGTACTGCCTGATACTCCCATACTCCCTACTCCCAGCAATTAAGTGAAAATGAAACTTGCTGGGACAACAACTCTTATGGCTCGAATGTGTGGCAGGCAGCGTGATAAATGCGGTTATAAAAACCTGCAATCAAGCAGCTTACAAACGAAAGTGAAACAAAAGTGCCGACAAACCAACCCAACCGACCAACCGACCAAACAACAACAACAATCCGAACTGAGCCGAGCATCAAGCGAAAAACTTGCAATTTCCATTTTAATACGCAACAACTTTCGGCTAGAGGCAGGCCAAAGGAATCGCGAGTCGAGAGTCGCGAGTCGTTTCCACAATCACAGCAAAACGTGAAGTGGATGCCATGTTGCTGCACAGCCGCAGCCTCCGCCTCAATGGAATACCAAAGCGCTGAGACGCCCCTGAGATTTAAACGAGCTACAATCCCAGACACAACAGACAAGAGTTGCCCACCTACCAGCCCCTCGCTCCGAAGCTCCGCATCTTCGTTGTCTGATGGATCGGCGAGTCTGGGGCTTGATTGGCGCTACCAAGGAGCAAGGCGAGGAGTTGGGTATGTCATCAGCATAAATTTTAGTTCGCATTCATCATAATTTTCATGCATTTAATTTCGTGTTATAAATTGTCTGCCGTGTACAATGCATGGTCTTTGGCCAAAAGGGCGGCCTCGAATTAACTGAGATTCGCATTCGTATACTCTGTATCCATTAAGTTGGCTACAAAGGCAATCACAAATTTGTGTGAGTACATGATACAGGCAGAAAAACTAACCTAAGGTGCAGGGTATACTCAAGTTAAGCAGCTCGTAGAGACTCCTGAGGTACATATGTATATATATATATATTTCTGAGCCACTTAATATATCTGACATAGGAGATATATAGGTTGAATGAGATATTTTCGAGATATTTCGATATTTCAAGTACTTCAATAATTCTTATAATGCCCAAAATCTTAACTAGACTACTAAATTATATAACTCTATGGGAAGAATCGGTCAAAATTATTATATTCTTACTCCTAAGGTAACTTTATATCGAAACGGACTACTCGTCATATGCCCATTTAATATAAATGCACCTTTAAGCCATAACGAGCCTTGTTATTTTTTGGTGTTGAATTAATTAAGAAGTTGGGAAAAGATATAGATTGCAATTGGAGCAGGAAGGCATTTCTGGGAATAGCTCTGAGCGTAGGCCTGTATAATTTTGGTTTTAACAGTTGTAAATGTTCAAATTTTAACTTAAAACTTAACTTAACAACCAACAATAATATTAGAAACTGAAACTGACAATTCGATCCTCATTTTGTTAATGAGGCGACTTGAGCTGCGCAATCAGCTTGTACTTATGCACCCATCAGATGCACACAAAGTGTATCCGCAGGATGCAAAAATGATATGCTTGTTGCGCAGCCATCAATAATTACAACATGGGAGTATTTGGCATATAATCAGGCAGCAGACATGGTCATATGTCTGTTCGGTCGCCCCGCTGCCTGGAGTTTAAATATCGTTAGGCGCGACAGCGGATCAGGTAGTTAGCCAGGTAGGCCGCAGTGAAAGATACGCAGTGAAAGATACGCAGTGAAAGATACGCAGTGAGTATCTGACGGATACACAAGTGCCGCGTGTATTTCATATTCGCAATCAGCGCAGTGCCGCCTGCGCAAATGAGGCATTTGCTTATGTTGCAACTGAATGATTTACGATTTTGCGAGGCAGCGAATGGGGCTTAGCTAGTTTTATTGTCTATTCTATCAAGTCCTGGGGCTTTATTATTTTCTAGTCCTTTTATAAGGGTTTTTACTTCAAGGAGGGTGACAGGGCGGAATCTGGGGTTGTCTGTTGGTAACGGTTATTTGATTTGTGATATTTTGGCGCAGAAAGGGTTTGAATCTTAATTCCAGATGGTTAGCAAATGCTTCCGCTTTTTCTAAGGCTGTTTTACACCAGTCATTATCATTCTGATTATTGTTTTGGCTTGAGGTATTTTTGTGATTTCTGACTGGTAGGTTGGGGGTTGGTTGTCTTTTTATTTGTTTAGTGAATCTCCAGAGTTTTTGCATGCGAATGGACTTTTTATGCTCAAAAAGGGACCCATCTAATGGACAGACAGGTAGACATAACCACGATAATCCCCCGACAGGAACTGGCTGCCTTATATAACCAGGTCCTAAGCAAATAGGCGACTGTTTTTATTAGCTTACCCAACCATATCCGTTTTCTGTGGCCCCGTTGTGAAACTTACCTGCAAATAGATAAAAAACAGAGAAGACAGTTTATTAGTCATGGAGCAAAGAAAATGCATTTCACAAGGGGATATTATAACAGGCAAAAATATGCGTGGAAATGATTAAGCAATTTCCGTTGACATGCAATTTGCCCCTCCATCCTACTCGCTTCGCATTCGAAAGTGCAGTGAAAGACAGCCGCAAATTACTTTCGAGCATAAATCAAGTTTATCCATTGAGGTTTTTCTATTGTTTTTCCTGCGCACACACACGGTAGCCGCTTGTAATGACCAAAATGTGATACACGATGCCAATAAAGCCTAATGAGTCGGCCTAATCAGAGTCTGAACGCTGCCATTTGAGATGAAAGTTATTCTCCATATCAAAGCGAATGACGTAGCTTAATTCGATTAGCTCTAAATATAGTGAGTCCACTAAATCTAAAATAACTAGTAAGAGGCTCTAGTCGGAAATTCCCGAATACTGAATACTCTTCTACCAACAATTCGTATTATCTCAGAACGACAATTGCATTTAAATTGTGGCTTAAATTGGTAGGCAAAACAAATTGTTTCATTTACTTGATTTATAGCTATATATACTATTCAAGAAGCTACTTGTCAAGTTTGGTGTCTTCAGCTCTTATAATTTATGAGATTTGCTCAAAAAACAGTTTTTCGATATCGATTTTAATCGATCGCTTGGAAACGGGTCAAGTTATCGATTATCGGAAAGAAACTCTTACTTCGCGGGCACTAGGAAGAGCTACATTCCAAATTTCAAGTCATTATCTCTTATAGGTTCTGAGATCCTTGCGTTCATACATACGGACGGACGGACATGGCTAGATCGACTCGGCTATTGATGCTGATCAAGAATATATATATACATTATAGAGTCGGAGATGCTTCCTTCTGCCTGTTACATACATTTGCACAAATACTTTATACCCTTTTTATCCATTTT